CCACTAGATTTGGTATTCAGATCATTGATAGGCTTATTGACAACATGTGTAGTAGCTTACAAGGAACAAAGTCAATAGGCTAAAGAGGAAATGAGTACTGACACAGAGACAGCCAGTATAAACTAGAGAGACAGGGCCAGTATACAGGATGACTGAAGAGTAAAATAGTTACACAGCAGATGAAGAGAGAGACAAGTGTTAGGTGGATATAGTGGCCTTCTCAGGAGATCTGCCCCATCCTCTAAAAACTATAGGAAAGAGGTATAGAAGGGTACCCCTACAGGTAAATTTGTAGAAAAGAGCAAAAAGTTAAAAATCTCAATGAAGTAGGATGTAAGGATCTGTTTTGGGTGAAGAGACAGCAAGGTCAAGAGGGGGAGTGAGAAGATTTGGTAAAGTTTTGAAGAGAATGAGAGTGATAACAAAAAAGGCAAGCAAAAGGTATCAGGCAAGGCTGAATACTCAGATGAGACGAAATAATTAATTTAAAATAGCGCTAATCTGTATGACTAGGTACTTTTTCTCCATTCCTCAGATACAGGAGTAGAACAGTAGACTGTGGGTTGGGTTGGCATTTTGTAGGGGTATAGCAGAAAGACCCAGGCAAATATTGGAAGTACGTCAGTTACTCTGCTATGAGATCCCAGCTGGCGACAGTAGAAAGATAGGTTATAAGAAGAAAAATAGAAACAAGCTAGTTACACTGCAGAGACTTGGAAGGATAAAATGTGTTTGTCACAGTGAGATGTCGGAGTTGAAGATTTCTGAGGGGGTGTACGTGTAGACGAGAAGATGGGCGCTGCAGCCCTGGTAAAGGGTGGCTAATCTTCACCTGGAGGTGATGACCCTGGCATTAAAGAAGTTCAGGAAGAGACTAGGCCTTTTCTATTTGTGTACAATTATCTCTTAATCTAAGTTTCTCATTACCACTGAAAATCTCTGAAAGTTGTCAACTTCCTTAAGGTAAATGTAGAAGACATATTTTATTCAAAAGACAAAAGTCTTCTAGAGAAAAAGCACAAATGCTTAGTTTCAGTAGCGAATGCCTGACTCTGGACAAATCACAGTATTTCAAGATTGGAGGTAATACAGTCTGTCTATCCTCTTTATTCCTTAATTTCCCATTTGTAAAAATGGCAACAATATAATCAGCCACGTATCCTTTACAAGATAAATATGAAGAGACACAAGATCATAAAGGCAAAAGTTCTTTGGGGGAAAAAAGAACTTTAAAATACAAAACTAAGTCAGACGCTTCTTTCAAAAAGAAAAATATCAGGGAGTACTAAAAGAGAACAATTATATAAAGGAAGAGAAATTAACCTAAATAGCAACCCAAAAGCCCATAAGAATATATCTACAGTTCAGTGAAAAACAAATAGCTATAAGCTTGCTATTAATTCAAAGTCAGTATTTTCTTCTGACTGACAGACTCAGGGAAAGACAAGACTAAATGAAAGCTACCTTATTTACCATATAGGAAAAGAAACTACTGTCTTCTGTAACATAAACTGTTAAAACCTAACAGCATTTATTTTTAAACAAAAACAATATTAAGGAGAGCTGGTAGAAACAATTCATACAAAGCTGGGTCTTTTTTTAACTCTGGCATTGATTTATAAAAATTGCTTTATAATTATAATTGCTTCCTTTTTTTCGAGGCAAAAATATGTAGTAATACTTCTAAAAGAAAGCTGTAAAAATTTACATTAACATGAAAAAACATTATTTTACAAAAAAATCAAAAACTTAAATACACTTCTAGCCATAAATTATCTGACCCTACCATACAAAATCAAAATAGTTACCTGAATTGCTGGGAATTAAAATACTTTATTCATGAAAGATCAAAATAAAAAGTACCCTAGCAGCCAATCTGGCCTACTCATTACAAACGGGCTTGATGAAATACACACTTTCTTGTTCTCCTCACTTTTAGGTTAATTTAACTATCATTTCCTTAGGCTTCTTTTGGTTGGTTGTTTAACCTAAGTTTTCTATGATGAAAATATATTCCTTATATGTAAAAAAACTGTTGCCTGAAAAGTTTTGCCTCTCTTCTTGGCATGAATTAAAAAAAAAAAAAAAAAAATCAAAACACCAGTGTTACTGAGGGCATTGGGGAGTATTTATGTATATGCTATTAATGGGACCATAAACTAGCAAACTTTTAGAGGGAAATTTGACAATATTATATGGAAAGCTTTAAAAATTAATATATTCTTTAATCCTGCAATTCTAATTTAGGAATTTTTCATAAGGAAATAATTATGGATACATGCAAAGATTTCACTATGTATTAATATACTAGTAAGAACTGAAAATAATCCAAAAGGCCAACATTAGGGAAATGGTTACATGAATTATGATTTATCTATATTGTGGAATATAAGCTGTACATTTTAAAAAACAAAAAAATTATCAAATAACATGGGGAAAGGCTCACAATCTACTGACAAGTAAAAAATATTACAGAATTTGTACTAATGAGTGATTTAAATTTTATCTTTGTGTTGTTGAACTATTCTTGCTTTCTAAAATGAGCACTAAAAAGAATATTTATGGCTTTTGTTATTGAAAAAAATGTTATTCCAAAAAAATCTAGCCAATTCTTCCTCAAAGCACTTAGCAAATGAAATACAGACAACACTGAAAAACCAGAGAAGTTTTTCATATTATTTTGTAAACATATTTTACACAATAATTTTATGCTATTTTATCACCTAGGAAGTATTTGTAATTTACACAAAAAGATCAATTTTTTAAAAAGGTATTTAAAAGTTCTGTGTTCTAATGTTGACAGCAATGACTAAGTCCTTGTTTTTAGTCTCAATAATTCCTCTAATTGATCAGAAGCTCATATTCCATTCAACTTCATCCTGTCTCAGTTTGTCTCTATATAGAATGAGCACATGCAAACTTTTCACAAGAATGCTGAAAGAAATATATAAATTATACTACATATAAAATAATCTGAGACTTTGTACTTTGATCAAGCAAAAATGTAAAAATACCTTTTGATTTCTATCCTCTCATCATTTTTACAGTCCTAAACTCCTGAGGGCTTACTGTGAATAATTACAATAAATGCAAAACTTTCTGCAAAATTCATATAAAAGTTTATAATACACAATGTGTTCTGAAATAATAAAATTAATGTATGAAATAATTCTGGTATACTCTTCAGTATCAAATCATTTTTTTAAAAGTAAACTACCGCATTTCTGTTTAATTTCTTTTTAAGGCAATAATTATAGATATATTGATGCAATCTAATCTTTATTTTGTGCTACTTGAATATGCTATCCCTTAAATTACTGTGTACTCCAAGAATATATTAACATAGTTTTGATGCAATGCAAAATACTTGTTATGGTGGTCTTTATCAAATACAAAAAGAACTACCAAAGCTATGAATACTATAAACTAACCAACTTTAGAAGAGACTGCCCCCTTGTGCCAACAAATAATATTCAACAGATTAAGAGAGAACACTAATAAACTAGCTCCAACACTAGAAGCACCTAGGCTTCTAAAACGGTCTTGATCTTTCTGTGCTTTGATTTCAACAGCTTATATATATACATATATATATACACACATATGTATGTATACACACACACACACACATTCTTTTTTTTTTTTGAGACAGTCTCACTCTGTCACCCGGGCTAGAGTGCAGCGGCATCATCACAGCTCACTGCAACCTCAAACTCCTAGGCTCAACTGATTCTCCTGCTCAGCCTCCCAAGTAGCTGGGACTATAGGCATGCACCATTACACCTGGCTAATTTTTCTATTTTTTGTAGAGACAGGGTCTCGCTCTTGCTCAGGATGGTCTCAAACTCCTTGCCTCAAGTAATCCTCCCACCTTGGCATCCCCGAGTGCTAGGATTACAGGTGTGAGCCACTGTACCCAGCCTTAACAGCTTATATTTAAAACGGTAATCTTTAAGAAAAATAAATCAAACAGTACATTAAGCTTATATGAATGGCGAATTTATGACATTCAGTAGCAAATATCAACATAATTCCTAACACTTAACTATCATGGATAAAAGCTGCTCAGGTGCTTATAGGCTGAGTTCACAGACTTAAGTACTTTTCTGATCCTTAAATTCTACTACAAAACACAGAGCAAACAGCAAAGAAACCAGGATATTTCAGAGAAAATAGATGAAGCAGAAATAGAATATGATGACTTGTTTTAAAATATATAGAGTTCATCCAGGTTTTTAGGTATTTTCTTCTGAAATCTTGAAGACTAAAATTTTTTTGGGGGGGTGAATTTGATAAATGGTCTACTATTACTCTTTTGTTTTTTCTTCTTTTAGATACAGGGTCTTGCTCTGTTGCCCAGGCTGGAGTGCAGTGGCCTGATCACAACTCACTGTAACCTCAAATTTCTGGGCTCAAGTGATCCTCCTACCTCAGTCTCCCGAGTAGCTGGGACTACAAGCACATGCCACGACACCCAGCTAATTTTTAAAAATTTTTTTTGTAGAGACAGTGTCTCACTATGTTGCCCAGGCTGGTCTCAAACCCCTGGCCTCAAGTGATGCTCCTGCCTCAGCCTCCCAAAGTGCTGGGATTTACAGGCATGAGCCACCACGCCCAGTCCCTAATTAATCTTTATAAAACTTCATCATATATACATAGTAACAAGCCATTCAAACATAAGTCATTATCAGAATTATCACTAATAACCTGTGGTAGTGAACAAAACCATTAGAGCAATAGATTTGCTAAAGAAAAGAACATATTAAGACAATAAAAACATAGGTAACAATTTTAAGTGATGTGAAATACTCAACAGTGCAGTATCTTTCTTAATTATGGTCGTAATTCCATTTGTATTGAGAAGATTATTAGTAGAATTAAATGAATTATCATTGATAAAGCACTTATTATAATAAACACCATGAAATGTTTGTTACCTAAGTAAATGAATTAATAAACATGGAAAACTACGTAGGATGTATACATTCAATAATACCTACTTTCGAAGGTGGTCATGTTCTTTTAAAAATAGTTCAGTTCTTCTGTTGTTTACTCCAGATCCACTTTTATATGACCTAGGATAAAAAAGATAAAATTTAATAACATTTTTGGCAGATAATACAAACAGATTAAATGACTGGCCATAGAGACACTGAAAGTAGATAAATCGAGCCTCCCCATAGTTTTGAATGAACAATTAAAATATATAATCCTTTTCATTTCCCTCTAAAACATGTTATCTATTACAAATGGATAAATATAAACGCCTTTCTAGACCTCACAGTTTTACCAACAGTTTAGGCCTAACAGTTTGCTGTGGGAAAGCTTTTGAAATGGAATGTTTCCCTTCACAACAGTACATTTAGCGCATCAACTGGAGCCTAAGGAACACTTAAATGAAGCTAAGGATCTGCCAATTTTGGTACACTTAAGGATTTCTATCTTGGTCTTCGGCACATTAAAATATACAAAAAATGCTTTTTATCACTACTATCAACACTTTAATTTTTCTGTTTTCTACGAATAATAAAGTATCAAGAAAAAATTTTAAAAATTCAAGTAACAACAAATACTGCAGTAAGACCAAAGAGGGTCATCCTGCTAAAACTGAAATACTGGCTAAAAGGCGGTGCTACCATGCAAAGCACAGGAGAAAACACCACCAAGAAAAGCAGAATATAATCAAGAACACACTGGACGTGGAAGACTGATGACTTGGATTTAAATCTATACTGCATCATTTAATAGCCACTTAACCATAGACAAGTTATGAGACTAATAATTTTTATTTTACGCAAAAGATTATTATGAAGCCAAAAGATAATACATGAAAAAATACTGTATAAATTGCAAAAAAAAAAAAACCTTATAAAAATGTTAGGTATTATTACTATACCTCATCTCACTAATCGGCCTTGTATGATACTAATTTGACTATGTTCCTTACTCCTCTCTAGCACCTAGACTATAAGCTCCTATTGGGTCGAGTCGGTCTTTTCATTTCTACCTTCTACTGGGACTCATAGTTGGTCAGGAAATAGTTTAATAAATAAATGAACATTTTTTCATGGTCATTTTTCAAAAACCAAGTTATGACAGTAGGTTGCATTCTAGTGATCCCCACAAATTGTGGGGGAGCTAAATGTCTACACATTAAAGGCCACCCCCTATACTGGGTTCTCAGTGCATTCCTCAAAATATGTATGTCAGTCAACTGCACAGGAATGAAACAAAAGACTTGTCCTGAAGGAAAATATTACAACTGCCTTATTGCTAAAAGTATCTTCCTGTTCCAACAAAACAAAGGATCTCTTTATTTTTCTTGGAATACACATAATATGTATCAGTTTATGATAAACATATATCATAGTTTATGAAACTTGTCACATAACTTAACACAAGTGAGACAATGACAGGTATCATTAGATGGTCCAAAATCAGAAAGTCTTCAGCTTCAATTAGATGCCCATGGGATTTAATTTTATCAGTCATGTTCAGCTGTGAAAAATTTTTCAAAAATGTGTATGAAATGCTGGAATATATCAGTGAAGGTGAGATGAAAGGACAGAAGAAAAGAACAAATCTTTAAAATTATAGATTGTCGAAGGCTATGAGTTTGTATTAAATCTGGAAAAAAACACATATTTCAGAATTTCAGAGAAGTAAAGGTTGTATTAATAGCTACCTGAATATATAATGGTTAGGACAATTATATTAATAGCTACCTGAATATATAATTGTTAGGACAAGGGAGAGGGGCACGAATAGGTGGGCATCAGGAAGGAAAATATGGAGAGCTTCAGTTATTGGTAATGTTGTAATTCTTAGAGTGGGTGGTAAGAGATCAGGGAATAACTCATGAAGATATCATCTAAGCTGAATTTTGAATTAACACAGGGAAGTCAAGGTTGGCAGGAGCCAACAATAAAACTAGCAGAAGCAGATTAGACTGGCAAAGTAGATTAGGATGACCTTGTAGCAGAAATGTACAAAAAACAGTGAAACGGGAATTAGAAACCCTGAAATCTAAGTCATGGTTTTGCTACTCTATTTGCAATTAACCACAGACATATTCTAAAACTAAATCTGAATAAATATTCTACAAAATAATAAAAAAAGTAACTTACTCAATATCTTTTCGTACTGATCCCATGAGATTCTCCCTTTCCCGTATTGCCATAAAGTTTGCTTTGGTTTTATGGAATTCATGTGTATAATCCTGCAATAAATCAACATCCAGTCTCAACATAAGCTAATAATATATTTTCACCTCATTGAAGCAGTTATGTATTGTCATCACATTGTAAACTTCTGTCAAGAAAACTGTTATTTAAGAAATTGAATTGCCAAAAGGTAAAAATAACTTTATAATTACTTTCCTGAAGAAGGACCAACTTCTTTTAAATGAAAACAATTTAGTGCCAGGGTAACAGTGCCATTGAATCACTATCCTTTGTGTCTCCTAGTACCTTATGAGGCAGAATGATAAAGAAAAAATTCTAAGATAAAATGACTTCAAACAGCCTAGGATAAAACTTGGGAGGCTCTTTCTACTCAATAGCGTACCTAATGGGGCTTATTTTCAAATTTCATCCTTTTGGAGCTTGCACAAAAATTTAATTCTTAAACTAAGCAAAAAAGAACAGAACCAAGAGTATTATAAAGAAGAAAATAATCTTTAAACATTTTCTTTTATTTTTGTACTACTGTATTTTTAAAAGATATTAAAAAATATTCATTACTTTTTTTAAAATTCAGAGAATAAAGAAGACAAAAATCGAAATCAAAATCCAATCTCCCAGAAAGCCCCTATCGACCTTTTAAAAACAAAAACAACACATAAATATACGGAGAATATTAAAAGAGCACCAAAAGAAATAAAGGTAAAACAAATATCCTTCTCCACAGCTCATAACTATTATCATCACTTTCTTGCGTCTTCTTTCATGAAATGTTTTTGCATATTATTTAATTTTTGCCACATAAATCATACTATACATTCTGATGTACACGTTGCTTTTTGTAGTTCAAAAACTATGTATCTTTCCATAATAGCAAATAGAAATCTGCATCATTCTTTTTAATAGCTATATATAATATTACCTCATGATTATCCTAATTTAATAAATTCTCTACTGATAAACATTTTATTTGCTTTCTTTTTTTTGCTATTAAAAAATGCTGCAGGCCAGATGCTCATGCCTATAATCTTAGCACTTTGAGAGGCTAAGGTGAGGCCAGGAGTTCAAGACTAGCCTGAGCAACATAGTGAGACCCTGTGAAAAAAATAGAAAAATTAGCTGGGCATGGTGGTCCATGCTTTTAGTTCCAAACACTTGGGAGATTGAGCCAGGAGAACTGCTTGAGCCCAGGAATTTGAGATTACAGTGAGTTATGATGACACCACTACACTACAGCCCAGGCAACACAGTAAGACCCTGTCTCAAAAAAAAAAAAAAAAAAAGCTGCAATAAACATTCTTGTACCTATATTACTGAATTATTTTTTAAAAAAGTATATTTAAAGAGTAAACTAGATCAAAGAATCTTACATTTAAATTCTGAGAGTGCTAAACTACCTTCTACAAAGACTGTACCAATTTATGTTCCCACCAACAATATGAGTGCCCATTTTTCTATACTCTTGCCAATAATGGGTTATAAATGTTTCAATATTTGCTAATTGGACAGATGAAAAATCATTTCTCATTTTGATGTGTATTTTTTATTTGGGAATATGGCTGAACACCTTTTTATGGTTTTGGTTACTCATTTTTTTGTACGCAAGTGCATATCCTTTGCCCATTTTCCTATTGTCTTTTTCTTATTTCTATGTACATTTAGCAAATTAGTCATTTGTTATAGTTTCTGGTATCAAGTCTTGCTTCAAAAGTCCTTTACTACTCAGAAATTTATAAATTTCATTCATGCTTCACTCTAAACTTTATGGTTTCTTTCTCTACAAATACATTTTTGATCTGTTTGGAATTTATTCTCGATGTGAGGCTTGAGATTGAGGTGTTCTTTTTTCTGCCCTGAATAATCAGCCAGTTGTTACAATTATATTTATTTTATAATTTCTCTTTGCTCCACGAAACAGCACCTTTATCAGAAACTAAATTTCCATACACATTTGGGTCTATACTTGGACTCTATTCTTTTCTATTGACATATTTTCTTCTCTAGCATCAAAATGTCTTAACTATTCTAGCTTTTTAACACATTCAAGATCTGGTAGGACTAGGCCTCCTTTACTACTTATCTTCATTTTCAGATTGTTTTTCTTCGTTGTTCTTGTATGTCTATGATTCCAAATGAACTCTGGTGTTACTTTGCCATTTTTTTTAAAGAATGAAACAAACAACAAAAAGCGTCTGCTATTTCCATTGGGATAGCATTCAATTTATAGGTTGATTTAGAGGGAAATCTTCTCATCCAAAAGCAGAATGATTCTTTCCTTTACTTAAGTCTTCTTCTATGTCCCTCAGTAGAATTTTACACATACAAGTTCTACACATTTCTTATTAAATTTGTACACAAGGATTTTATAGTTTCTTCCATTATATTTTCTAACCAGTTATTGTTTGTGTGTAGGAAAACTACTTGCTTTTATATATTAATTTTATAATCCACGATCTTACTGAATTTGTTTCTAACTTTTTTGTTCAGTTCATTCTCTAAGGTGTACTAGACATATAATCTTAGCCTGCCACATAATAGAAATTGTGCCTCTTTTTACCTCATATCTATATCTCATTTCTTTTTACTGTCTAATTGCAACACAAAGAACTTCCAAAACAATGTTAGACATTTGTGGTGATCGTGGGTATACTGGTATTGTTTTTTTCTTCAATGGGAATGCTTTTAGTGCTTTACCATTAAACATCATGCTAGCTTTTAACCCAATATACACATTTTTGCGTTAAATCAAGTATCTTTCTATTCCTATTTTTATTTTATTTTATTTTTTTGAGACAGAGTCTCACTCACTCTGTTGCCCTGGCTAGAGTGAGTGCCGTGGCGTTAGCCTAGCTCACAGCAACCTCAAACTCCTGGGCTCAAGCGATCCTACTGCCTCAGCCTCCCGAGTAGCTGGGATTAACAGGCATGCACCACCATGCCCGGCTAATTTTTTTCTATATATTTTTAGTTGTCCGATTAATTTCTTTCTATTTTTAGTAGAGACGGGGTCTCGCTCTTGCTCAGGCTGGTCTCGAACTCCTGAGCTCAAACAATCCGCCCGCCTTGGCCTCCCAGAGTGCTAGGATTACAGGCTTGAGCCACCACGCCCAGCCCTATTCCTATTTTTAAAAAGTTTTAAAAATTAGAAATGGTTGCTGAATTTTCTCAATATTAATTTGCCTTCCTACTTGTACTACTATATTTTTAACAGCCCCCTCCCATATAAATGTTTAAGAATTTACTTAGTTTTATTGGTACATACACTTTTAATATTTTCTCAAACAATATACTAAATACAGTAAATTATTCTCCTTCCATGTTATCTTCAAAGCCTGATGAAAATATACTCCAAACTATCATATTATTGCCTATGCATGACCATTGGTTATTTCACTTTTACAACTAGCCTAGTTAGGTTTCCTAGAGTAGAATTATATTCACCTAATGATGAATATTACTAGACTTCATCAGAAAAAAGCAAGAGCTATTAGACATTTTTAGAATTTTATAACACTGACAAAAAAATAAAATTAAATGACAAATTTCTAAAGCATGGCATTTATTTTTACAGAAAATTTTTCTCTTTGTTCTTTAAATGCATGTGTACGTATCTTATCCAGGAATTAAAAAAACAAAGAAACCTGCTGTGACAACATAAAAGTCTCAAGCCCAGTATATTACCTGCAATATGTCTCTATGTCGCTGTAATGTATGCATTAATGCTGCATTCAAGGAAGGGACACCTGCACTGTTGGTATATTCTGCCATTTTATCATTTACCCCTGTAAGCTAGAAAGAAAAAAAAATAAAATAAAATATTTTAGAAAGCACTGTGAACAGCTAAAAGCAAATTATTTACCTAAATACCCTTTTGGCTAACAGCAAAAACAACAATAAGATAACAGGCAAGGATTCAGCATTTCCCCCAAATAATCCATAAAGGCTAAAATAATACCTATATAACTTGGGAATGGCTGTCATCATAATTCAAGTAGCCTGGGAGGCGCACTACCTTGAATGAATGGGTGATTTCAATAAACATGCCTGTCTTAGTATAATCCAGTACCATATCTAACAAATACACAGTTATTAGCAAAATAGCTATTTAATGGAAAGCACTCACCCTTGCCAATAGCTGTTCAATCTCAATTGCCATTGTCTCAAACATTCTGTCTTGGCTTGATCCATTTAAAAGCGGTGTTGTGTCAGAACTAAAGAGAAGTTCAATTAAAGGGAATCCATTACTCAAATATAGTCCTTTAAAATATTCTTAAAGTAATAAGGTAATTATTCTTGACGAGATCAAGTAAAACCCTTGAGACATTCTATTTCTTAAGAAACTATGATTTTATAGAAGTTTTTCTATAAAGATCACATATGTCCTACCTACAATATTAAATTCGGTATAAAATATAATTGAATATAAGATTTTCTCAAGCTTTAACACATCAAACCTTAAAAACATAAAAAAATTCCAAATGCTTGTTTATTGTTTCCTAAATGGTAGAAAGTAACTAAAGCTATGGCAGTGTCCAATTAAACTCTGCGTATAAAATAACAAATTATGTGAAATAAAATTATAGAACTATAAAGCACAGCATATAAGAGAAGCCATAAAATGAATTATGGATCATGTTATAGGGTCTGTGAGGAATAATCTTTCAAATTTTTGCCCCAAAGGAAGTATGGTCTCTTAGACCTTAAATTCTGTCTTCTTTTCTTGACTCTTACTAAGAAATAAAATTGAAATGTAGGCCGAGCGCGGTGGCTCATGCCTGTAATTCTAGCACTCTGGGAGGCCGAGGCAGGTGGATCGCTCAAGGTCAGGAGTTCGAGACCAGCCTCAGCAAGAGCGAGACCCCCGTCTCCACCAAAAAAAATAGAAAGAAATGATCTGGACAACTAAAAATATATATATATAGAAAAAATTAGCCGAGCATGGTGGCGCATGCCCGTAGTCCCAGCTACTCGGGAGGCTGAGGCAGAAGGATTGCTTGAGCCCAGGAGTTTGAGGTTGCTGTGAGCTAGGCTGACGCCATGGCACTCACTCTAGCCAGGGCAACAAAGCGAGACTCTGTCCCCCAAAAAAAAAAAAAAAAAAAAAATTGAAATGTAAAAGATCCACAGATTATTCAATCAACAAGTTATTGAATATTCAGGAACTTGCTTTAAGTTCTCTCTCTCTAGCCATGGCCAGCATATTTTAGTATTTAATACTAAGCCTCTACATTTCTACTTACAATATGCAATCATCTTTTTGTTTTGCAAAAAAATATGAATTGTCTTCTTCAATCTGAATAGCCCGTCAAAAATCTAACTTTTTACAAGTGAAATTTATGTTTGACAGATTCTAATTCTAAGACTACATGTCCTGAAAGTTTCTTTTGCCTCTTTTGAAAAACTACTAACCTACATCAGGTCCCCAGGTGGTATGTATTATCACAAGAACAGCTCAATACAAATCTGAGTTATATTGGACACAGACAAATGCCCAGGCAATGACTATGCTCTCTAATCGTACTGAAAACTTTGTCTTGCTCTTTGACAGTGTTTGGGTGGGGCAAATCAAACAGATTAAATCATGAGTTCAATGTCAAAAAGTACCTTGGCTACCACCATTTCCTCTATATCTAATTCCACAGTAATAACAACTAGTGGTAAAATAGCCAAAAAGTAGCTAATAAGGAGGATTTTTATTTTAAGATGTTTAATTAGGTCTGAAGCTTTATTTCTTTTTGAAATATTTTAATTTATTTGTCCTAAAATATGGTAACAAAATACCTAGTTCTTTATTGTGTCAGAGCCCAGCCAAGGTGCTGTGGTTATCTCCTAGAACCAAGGCAAAAATGCTCCGTATACTACTAATACAGATCCTCTCCTACCAGTTATATGAAAAAGAACAATGGGCTAACAGAATGAAAGCTCCATGAAATTGCCTCTGTCTTATTTGTAGATATATGCCTAGCACCTAGTACAGTGCCTGGGATGTGGCTGATGCTCATTAAATATTTGTTGAATGAATGAATGAATGAGGGAGCAATCTCTACTACTGGTTATTCCATATTCACCATTATCAGGATAGTATATGAGACAAGGGAAATGGCCTCAAACTCATTCTCCATAATACTATGATTCAGTTAAATTTCATCCATTTTATAGGTGTGTGCTGATTCATAGGCCTTGATGTTCTCAGAATACAGAAAAGTGGGGGCAAAAAAAAAAAAGATCCCTGGGAGAAAAAGTCTGGTCATCGCTTTGTTTATTCATTGTGACATGCTTTCAACCTGGGCATCAAACAAAACACTTTAGAATACATGTTGGATCTTTTTTTTTTATTTCAGCATATTATGGGGGTACAGATGTTTAGGTTACATATGTTGCCCTTGCCCCCCCCCACACACACATGTTGGATCTTGATCCTCATGGCTTTTGGTGTTTTATATAAAAGGACAGTTAGGCTGAAGTAATTCTACAAAGTCAGTCCCAATTTGTGGTAGAATTTCTTAGGAAATGTTTTCAAGATCGTGTTTCTTTTAATGGAGTAACAAAAGTATTAAGTTCATGAAGCACAGAGAACATAGAAAATGCTTTCCAATCATAAAATAAATTTACTCATAGAAAAGAATATTCCTTATTCTCTTTATTTGCTAAATAAAGGTGAGCCCAAAGCAATACACTGCAATGACATCTTTGTGACATGCTTATAACTTATTTTTAGATCCTGGAGTCAATATGTTGGCCCTGCTATTAATATCTTTACAACCAATAAGCCCTTAATAAAGAGAAACAATATTTTGGCTATAGTGTGCATAATATGCATAATGTGCATAATATCATAGGGTTTAGAGTCTTTCTGGAGACAGAAAGACCTAGGTTAAAATCCAAGTTGTTGTTGTTTCTATTATTAGCTGAAAAGTATCCCACACATCACTAATCTTGGAAAAAGCATGTAAAATAAGTGTGGATTGACAACTAACAACTATGCTATCCGCAATTTCACTACTAGGTATATGGAAACATTCTGTACAAAAATGTTTCCAGTAATATTTATATAAAGCTCTTACAACAGTACGTGACATATGGTAAACACTCTGTGTCAACTATTAAAATCAATTATTAATTAGCAAAAATTAGAAACAATGTCCATCTATCAAATTGTTAAACTGTGATACAGTCATACAATGTAATACTATATATAGCAAATGAATATACCAGAGTTAAATGTATCCACAGTCGAATCTCAAAAACAATGTTAAACAAAAAATTTGCAAAATAACTATGGTAGGATACTACTAGTTGCTTAGTAATACAAACATATGTAGTAAAAACATATGGTGGTTACGGGGAGGGAGAAAGTGTCCGGATGCCATAAGGGGCTTCAAGAGAATTGGTAATGATCATTTCTTAAAATGGGAGGTAGGCACGTGGGGGTCCACTATATTATTCTTTATACCTTTCTAACTGTCTTAAGCATCTCCTAATATTTTTTTTTAAAAGGCAGATGACTTAAAGAGAGCATAAGATTCAAAGATAAGAATTTTTTTCTATATAGTAATATGCTAGTTTCTCAAAATATTACCAAAAATTAAAAATAGCTTCAATGATTTATAGCAAGGATACGCATGGTCCTGGAATGCATTAGATCCATTCTAATAGAATAAACACCAGAATAGCGCTATGTATACTTTGCATTTAGGTAGTAGTTCTCAAACCCATTTAGCAATAAGAGAACACAAGAAATACAATGTTGGCAAATCACCCACATTTCCTTACTATGGCCAAACTAGAAACTCATATTTTTGATACAAACTCATTCTTAAGCCCTAGCAGTCTCCTTCTGACACTGTCACAATCTTTGTCTAAGGAATCCAAATAAATCCTAGTCTCGAGAATTAGGAGGAATTTTAATAAGTCACTAAAAAAATAAAACAATGACAAAGAAAATAAAACACCAAAAATTCATCAACAGACCAAGTTACAGAGGTTATATATTTTAGGTTTTTTTTTCTTTTTTTAGTGCTTTAAAAACATCATATAGTTTAAGGCATAAGAGACAGAATCTGGTAGTACCTATACCTGTCGCGTCTTCCATCTCTGGCATTGCTGTGACTGTAACTTGTACATAGTTTACTGAAGGAAACTAGTTTCAGGTCAAGTTCATTTTCCAGCTGTCGAGCCTGTTTCCTGAGATCTTTAACAAAATTATAAAAGCAAATAATTAGACACACAAAGTCTATCAGCAGACATGAAAACCATAAGACTATTCTGAAGAAAACAAACTATGAAAATGATCACATATTGATCTAGTTCCTCCCACAAAGAAAAGTGAAACCAAGGACTTGCCCAGGAAAGCATATTAGTCACTTACTTAAACTTCAAATGGGGCAAGAAGGAAAGCAGCAGTGGGAGATGCAAATTTTCAGCTTTATTCCAAAGACAGCTAGACAACAAATGTTGTTCTAACATTCCTGAAATTATTTCTATAGCAATAACTAAAATTCTACAATTCAAAGGAAAAAAGAAGAGAAGACAAATCACAAAGGAACTGAATATGGTTTATGACCACCATCATATAAACTTCTCAGCTAACATTATGAAAAACCATTACTGTTTTTCAGACTGATTTTGCTCTTTTTTTTTTTTTTTTTCTTCTTTGAGACACAGTCTTGCTCTACTGCCCAGGCCAGATGGCAGTAGCGTCATCATAGTTCACTGCAACCTCCAACTGCTGAGCTCAAGCAATCCTCTTGCATCAGCCTCCCAAGTAGTGAGTGGGCCAACACATCTGGCTAATATTTTTTTTATTTATCAAAGAGATCAGTTCTCGAACTCCTGGCCTCAAGCAATCCTCCTGCCTCAACCTCCCAAAGTGCTCAGATTACAGGCATGAGACACTGTACTCTGCCTTTGCTGTCTTTATGTTCCAAAGCTTTATTAGGCTTATGAACCTCTTTTCATAATATTAAAATGACGTAGCAATTGAGCATAAAGAAAAAGTAAATTACCATTAACAAAAATAAAAAATTGCCTTTTAGTAAACTCACTGAAAGAAATTTGGAAAGCTGAAACTAACAATAAACAATGTGCTACTAACAAGGTTGAATATGAGTATGACAGAAATAAGAGCATAAGTTTTACAAGTAGAAGCAAACAAGGAAATAGAGAAATTGGTATAGTAGTTTGGCATCTAAGGGGTTGCATGAGTGAAGCCAATGTCTGGAAACCCATATATAGATTCTCATTCATTCATGCTGACGTGAAGGTTAAAATAAAAGGGCTGAAATGTAAGAAGAATTTCTCAGGGATAAGGAATACAAAACACTATTTCAATATACCCTGCAACCAGAGGTAGGAAGCAGAGTTACCATAGTGGAGCATATTTGCTCCAAATCTCAGCTCGAATCTCAGCTTGGCCACTTATGGACTCTGAGATTTATCAACAATCTACTTAACTCATAAACCTCAGTTTTTTGGTTTTTAAACCCCTACCTTCAGGGTTTTTCTATGCATTAGTACTCATACGCTTAAGGCACCTGGCTCAGAGTAGGCTGTCAATAATGAGCTGCAATAACTATTTCAGCATGGTGCTTCAAAAAAACATAGCATAATGACTAGCATTAAAGACACCAGCAGATATCTGATAAATTCTGCATAATTTAAAATATTTTCTAGCTAGCACACACATTTCTAATGGTCATTTTAATACACGTTTTAAAACTATAAGCACACTTCTCTGTTATTTTAGTAACTGTCTTCTCTAAAAGAAAACATAAGTAAAAGCATTTTGAAAGTACAACAGGCAAGTATAGATGAACTTAGAATTAAGGGTCTTAGAGCAAGTGGCTGATAGAGACAATAGTGTGGTTTCCAGAGGCGTCAGTGGGTAGCAATATGTACTAGGTCGAAGGGGGAAAAGGGATTTGGAAAGTAGTTTCTATGTTGCAGTAGAGCAAAGAGACAGTTGAAAGAAAAAGGTGAGCCTTTTCTGATCTTGTTGATCACCACGGTTAGGAATAAGTTTTGCGTGAGCACACTTTATCGGATCACATTTTCAGGAATTAAATAAATGCACTTGTCAAATCACAAGAAGGTATTTTTGGTGGAAGAGGTACAGCAAATGTAATTATTACAATTCACACAGGTTCTCTCAACTTTCCCTTTTTAACAAAACCGATCCTAGACCCCAGAACAGAAGGTAAAGTTATTTTCTTTGCCTTCAAACAGCCAATCCTCGAAGTCCCCAGCATGAAGTTACTATGGGGACCCAGAAGGAGACATTCCGCTCATACTCCCCCCGATGTACCGTACTGACAAGTTCCTCCTTTCTCTTTTCCCACTCAGTTTTGCAACAGTGACCTCAACTCCAAGGCGCTGACTCTTCCAGTCTCCCGGGCTCGGGATCTTCTCACTCAACACTCGTTTCCTCTCAGAGTTCGTACCGCAAGCCAAGTTCCACTCCCCTCAACCCGACAATTCAGCTCCCTCTTCCTCTCTACCCCCGCTCTGTCCACTCTGCCCGACCCCTGTCCCAGGTGCCGCTCACAGAGCCCAGTCAGGCCAGCCTCCTGCCCCAGACCGTTCGGACTCCTCAGTCCCCAGGCCCCAGAGCTTCCAGTAGGCAAGCCCCCCTCCTCAGCTCGACCCCTCCGGAGGCCTGGCTCTTTCCTCTGCTGCCTCTCCCAAGATCTGTCCTCACTCAGCCCCTCTGACTCTCGCGGGACCCACCCGAAGACCTCCTCGCCCTCACCTTCCCAGTAATTGCTGGTTCCTGCCGCCATTTTTGTTGTCCAACGTCAGTCGGGATAGGGGCGTAGAGGCGATGAGGGCCAGAGAGTCACCTCCGCGCCTTCTTCCGCCCTGAGCTCCGGGGCCGATGGGATGCGAGCCTCCACGGACACTGCCACCTGGTGGTCAATTCGTTATTTTGCAGCTTCCTTTTGAGTAGCGAGACTGAAACTTCAGCTTTTGCTCCTCACATTCCCTAAAGGTCGATCTTCCTCTGCTCGTGCCCGCTTTCTGCGCCCTGAATCCTCATTATTTCCCTCATCTTGGCTTATCCCTTCTCTCAGAAGGTGCCTACATGACTGAGATGAGAGGCATCCTCAGACAACTCCCTCAATTTCCCTCACCTTCTCTCAAAAGTGCATCTTCAGCCAGCCTCTTTCTTCCCAAAGCCAGTCCCTTCATCCTACCTCGACCTGTTCTCCATCATCTCGCTCTCTGGCATATGCGCTCTTCTCCACTGGCTGCTTTCCCCTGCGTCTACAGCAGTTCCAGTTCCAGCCCTCTTTCCTTTCCAGCCACCAAATCTAGACGGTGTGTGCTAACTGCTTCCACATGCTCTCATCTTGACCCCTCAAATCTGCTGTCCAAACCCACCCTTTATAAATACATGCATTATCAAAGTCTACTGGTGTTGACATTTTACCGGTTCTAGTGAAGTGTACAAACTTTACCTCCTGTAAAGTCCTTCCCCCTACTCTCATTTATAATTGTTTTTAATATTTCCTCTACATTATTGAGATCCACATCAGACATGTTATAATATTTGCTTCAACTGTCAAGCATAATTTGCAAAATGTAGAAGAAAGCCTGCTCTATATACTCATATTTTACTCTTTCCATTGTTCTTTTTCCTTCCTGATGTTCCAAGATTTCTTCTCTTATCATTTCCTTTCTGTTTCAAGAACTTCCTTCAGCCATTTTTTTTAAAAGAGTAGGTCAGCTGGCAACATACTCTATTAGTTTTTCTTTATCTAAGAATGTCTTGATTTCCTTTCATTGCAGAAGGATATTGTTGTCAGATATAGAATCTGGGGTTGACGATTTCTTTTTGTCAGTACTGGAAAAATGTGCCAATTCCTTGTGGCTTCCACAGTTTCTGATGAGGAAATTAGCTGTCATTTGAATTGTTTTTCCACTATAGTTAAGGTATCTTTTCTCTCTGCTTTCAAGAATTGTTCTTTTTCTTTAGTGTTCAGAAGTTAATTATGATGTGTCTTGGTGTAGATTTCTTTGGATCCATCCTGTTCGGGATTTGCTCAGCTTCTTGATTCTCACGTTTATGTCTTTTGCTGAATTTGGGGAATTTTCAGCCATTATTTCTTCAAATACTTTTTCTGTCCCACACTCTTTCTCCTCTTTTCTAGGATTCTGATGACGTGAATGCTAGATCTTTTGTTAAAGTCCCACATATCCTCAAGGCTTTACTAATTTCTTTTCAATCGATTTTCTATTGTTCAGGTTGGGTAATATCTGCTATTCTGTCTTCAGATTCACTGACAGGCAAGTATCTCTTTCCTCTCTCCCCTCCATTCTGCTTTTGAGCCCATTTGCTGAGTTTATGTCAGTTATTGTATTTTTAATATCTAAAGTTTATATCCAGTTCCTTATTATATCCTCTGTCTTTGCTGAGACTGTTTCTTTGCTGAGACTCTTTTTATCATTTGTTCTAAGTTTGTAATTGCTCATTTTTTTCATTAAAGCTGCTTTAAAGTCCTTGTCAGATAATTCCAACATCTGTGTCATCTTAATGTTGGGGTATGTTGATTGCCTTTTTTCACTCAAGTTGAAATTTTCTGGGTTCTTGGCATAATGAATGATTTTTTTAAATTGCATCCTGATATTATAGGTATTTGTTATGAGATTCTGGATCTTGTTTAAATCTGTGTAAGCAGACTTCTTCTGACACTGTGCTAGTGGGGGAGTCAGGGAACTGCTTGCTACTTCCAGATGGAAGTTCACGTTCTCCTTTGGCCTTCATTGATACCCCAGGTGGGGAGGGGTGCTTCGATACTGCTCCCCACGTGGCCTGCACTGATCCATGACAGGGAAGCTTGTTACTCTTGTCCAGTGATGAAAGTCCTAGCTCCAGCCTTGGCTTTCTTTGACACTTCAGAGGTGGAGGGGGTGCTTCATTACAGCCAGATGAGGGTGGATTTCTAGGCTACTCACTCAGCTTTGCTGACAAGAGGTGAAGATGGGCCTTAGTTTTTTCTCTGGCATTTGTCTAGAGTAGTGCAATTTCTGACTGTAAGTATTCTATCTTGCTAGGCTACCTGTTTGTCTAGAGAGAGAAGCCTTTCCCTTGAGCTTTTCTTGTCTGCACCCTTTGGCATCTCTGGGTTGCCAGCTTCTCCAGCACCCATTATGGGATATTTGAGACAAAAAGAAAACCCACGGAACTCACCTTCATGTTGTTCTTCAGATACTGAGGTCGCTACCCAGTCTGTGATAAGGCCAAAAACTTCTGCTAGGGTTCTCTGCCTTTTGCCTGGCCTCTCTGCCTTTTTGAGTCTTTTTGAAACATTTGTGTGTTTAATGTATAATGTATGAGGTTCTTTGCTGTGTGGGAGGAATAGAAAGAAATACATCTACTCCATCTTGTCCAGAGATGAAAGTCTCCATTTAAATTTTAAATATATTTTAATTCTCTGATAAAATTCATTATGTCTTCTACTTTCTTAATTTATTCATCACCATAATTTTAAAATTTCTGATTGATAACTGAAAAATCTGTACCTCCCATAGGACTGTTTCTATTTTTTCCTTGATCTTTTGTCACTTTATCTTGTCTTTTGATAATAAGAGTAATTTTGATTAGATGCTGCATATTCTATTATAGTTAATTTGTAATAATTGTTTGAGGCTCTGGATGATGTTATCTTCCTCCAGAGAAAGTTTGCTGCTTCTTTCAGGTGGTTTAGGTAGAGGCAGATCGGCTTAATCCAATATGGGAGGGAACTAATGCCAAGTGGGATTCTGCTTTTATTAAAATTGGTCTATTTCTGGTTAGCCCTTACTTCTAATGTGTAGCCATTCCAGTTTCCTAACTGAAAGCCTGTTTACTAGCAAACCTATCAGGGAACGGTGCTAAACTTGTATTTTCCCCTGCCCGACAATACTGCCTAAAACTTCTGCTTGGGTTCTCTGCCTCTTGCCTGGCCTCTCTGCTGCTACGTGTCTCGACCTCTTGGTCACCACTTATGAACCAATAAATGCCCCAAAGTAAAAGTTTTACTATTATGTTCACCTCTCAACTCCTTTTGCTCTAGGATCTTGATCCCATAAGTTTTTCTTACCTTAGTAGTTCTCCAATCCTTCAAACGTTTTTGTTTTTTTTTCAATGCAGCTTTCTAATTGTTCTTCATGAGAAGGTCTTTCAAGCCAATCCACCCATAGCTGGAAGTAGAACTAAATTTTCTTATTACTTCTAACTTGTCTATAGATTTTGTGTTTTCTACATACATAATCATATTATCTGCAAATAATGACAAATTTATTTCTTCTTTTTCAATATTCATTCATATCTGTTATTTCTTATATATTCATACTCATGGCTGAGATCTATTCTGTCAATAGAGCAAAGTTCAGGTACTATAGTGGGGTTTTTTGTTGGTATGTTTTGGCAAAGGGGAGGAGTCGTAAGTGCTCCAGTTTTGCAGTTCTCATTTGACTAGCAGGACTCTAAATTTTCCTCTTTTGCATCTTTTTTCTTTCATCACCTAATTGTCAAAAGGTGCTTCTCCTTTTTTCATTTTTTTCCTTTACTAGAGGCTATGTGTTTCAAGACCACCCCTTTAAATTACACCTGTCCCCTTTAAATTGTGCTCACTTTGAAACCCTTTCTGTAGGGACCGTCCCTGGGCAAAATTGGCTTAAGCCCAGAGTCAGCGAAACTGGGTGTGCTCTCCTTGGCGCCAGAGGTCAACAGGCCCGGGCACGGCCTGTTGACCAAACAGAACTATTCCTCATGACAGACAGCTTTATGACAGATAACCAAGCGCCTGGGGTCTTGCAAACAAGCCAAGGCATCTCATCGTCCTACATACGGTAATGAGATAAAGAAGTTAAGAATCAAGAAGTTAAGATGCAAGAAGTTAAGATGCAAACGTCTGCTTCCCTTAAGCAATCGTCTGGAAGGAATGAAAATGTATTTTCCTCAGGGCGCCCAAGGTAGTCATGTGCCAGGAAGTAGCTGCCGGACAGAAAAAAGTATATAAATAAAACGACTGGTAGAATTGACTACTGCAGTCTTGTACGTCTTGTGTGTGTCTGTGTGTTTCTTTCTGTGTCCATCCCCCGTTCTGCAATCCAGGCCGCAACACTTTCCCTCTAGTTTGTGCTCTGATCTGCTTGGACACATTTTTTTAGACCATTCAGACTTAGATGGACTTAGTCTTTCTGGCAGTAGTTTCAGGCCAAGGTTAGAACATTATGCCCTTTTGCTGGTGTCCCTCTTCTGTCTTCCTGCAGTTTATCTCCATCTGTCTTCATTCTGCAGAGCCTGGGGTGTGGGTGCCTGTGAGTACATGCTGCAACTTAGTGATTTTTCTCATTTTATTCAGTTTGAAGTTTCAAAACTCTCTGACTTCGAAATATGCTGAGTGTGATTTCCGTATAGATTTACTTTTTCCTTCTTGTGTTTGACATTATTTTGCAATGAAATATTGGGAGATGGGTAGCTAAGCTGCCACTAATGTTTTTAGCTACCTGGAAGTTCACCTTCATTCTTTTTTTTTAAGAGACAGGTCTTACTCTGTCACCCAGCCTGGAGTGCAGTGGCCCGATCACAGCTCCCTGCAACCTTAAACTCCTGAGCTCAAGAGATCCTCCTGCCTTAGCCTACTGAGTAGCTGGGACTATAGGCACACACCACCACGCCCAGCTAATCACCTTCATTTTTGAAAGACAGGTTCAATATAGAATTCTATGTTGAAAGCTATTTAATGTGTTCCCTAGCACTTTATTTTTTTTTGTTGGTTTGTTTTTTTTTTTTTTTTGAGACAGTGTCTCACTCTGTTGCCCGGGCTAGAGTGCCGTGGCATCAGCCTA